TTCTTAAGTCTGTGTAAAAAATTATTTAAAAATCGTATCTTGTTGTAATGAAGCTTTCGATTTATACATCCAAAAACTCCGATCTTGGAAACTACCGTACCGATCATCACCAATCTTAACTGGGTAATATTTTTATAACTAGGCAGTATTTTTATAGCTGAGCAATAAATATAACAATTGAATTTTCCACAAAACTGATATATTTCAGATTTAATCAATAAGAATTACAAAAACGGAGTAAGTTTCAAATATAAAACAATCAAAAAACAAACTTAAAATTATTATTTGTTTTCCTTTAGTGAAAATCTCATGAGCGTTTGCAACAGAAAAGCAAGGCACTTTCATTGATAACTGCGTCTTCAAAAAATACTTCAATAAAATCTACTCTGTGATTTAATGTTGTGATGATAGCTCGTTTGTAAACTAAAATTTTAATAAAATCCTTTTTCTCATGGATGGTGAAGATTATTGAATGTCAAGTATGAGTACATTGTTGTAGAACTGTCAGACAATTCACTTTCTCTAGCTTCTTGCAACAATAACTTATTCATAACACTTCTGATGTGAGTAGCTGGCAGTTAGTTCAAGAACATGACGTCTCAAAAAGGTTTTTTCTACATAAAGTGTACTTACATGACTGTGACCTGCGCTGTCCAGAATGTGGAAAATAACCGGTTCATTGTTGAACAAGGTCTCGTGAGTGTAAACGTCTTCTAAATGAAAATGAAAATCGGAGATTGATATATTTGTTCGAAAATATATTTGATTGACACTTTTCATTTCATTTAATGAAAAACTAAGAAATAATATAACTATTGTACTTTGGAAACGATAATTATGAGAGAAGGCATTTTAATTTATCATAAACTTCAAGCACATTTATCGTTGACTATTATCAGATTGGTTTTTAATATTAACGTTCCAATTAATTCTTGGTAAGGGTCGTTCATGGTCTTTGCTATTTTCATGAGTACGAAACGTAAATTTTGTTTTTATTTCTCGCTTCACCATCCTCTGAAAGCTTACACACAAAATGATGAAAGTTGTTTACTGAGGTGTTGTAGAGTATTGGTCATTATAAATAAGGTGCCGAGAAACAGAAAAGATGCTGGTGGTCAGCACTTTGCTAATTATTTATGGCTAGATAATTAAGTTCTCAAAACATATTTTTGAAAAATGACGAAAATTGCGAACAATTCATATCAATTCTGAAAGTAAATGTTAAAAACTTAAAGTCTGTAGTTTATTAAATGTTACAATATCTAACACATCTTAACCGACACTATAATTAGTGTAGCGCCCTCTTTTAGTGAGCTGTTTGTTATGTTTTTTTTTTTTTAAATCGTGATATTATTACACATTGTATACTCAGATTGGAGGAGAAACATTATGTTTAGTTCTATTCCGTCTGGGAAATATGTAAAAATATTACGCATAGGGATATAGGCGAAGGTTAGTTGGCTTGAATACCCTATAAAGATGCTCATGTATCCCTGCGTAATATAGCATCTCTATCAATATAATGATCAGTTACAATTTGATAAACTTCTTCATGGTTATAAAATACTGAGATGCCAGTATCAGTTTAAGGAAGGCTGTTTATAATGCGACATTCAAAAGTAAAGAATTGGTTACAACTTTTTCTTGTATTTTCGTAAACGAAGACAGACATATTTCATACTTAGATGTTTTTGTCTAAGAATAACAACAAACCTTGTCATAGAAGTAACTTACATAAACTAGTAATGTCTCATTTAGGTGAGACAGAGAATTAAGTTTTAACTTTTACGTAGTTTAGCCAGTTGAAATAAAACTAGTCGTGGTTGTAAAGTTTATATGTGGCTAATCTTATAAATATCTTGATGACAGAATTTACGAGATTATAAAAAAGCAGGGAGTGGGGGTAACTTGAATAAATGTGTTGTAGGAGGTACCTGTGTTTACTACCCTGTTAGTTAATATTTAAATATTTCGAAATTTCTGTATTTTCAGTCATTTCCTTTCGAACGTAGAAGGTCGCGCAAGTAAGCAGAATAACTGTTCTTTATTCTAGATGTACCCGGGTCCTGGCTCACTGATTAACTATTAACCGTATTCTCTTGCAGGAAGTACATCTCAAGTCCATGCGTTAAAGGATGTCTTTTTCCTTTCGGCAAATCTCAATGAACTTGTACTTGAATCGCAATGGACAATGGTTATGTGCATAAATTATTTTGTGAGAAGCTTTGCTTTGTTGTTCTTATCGTGTTTTTTAGTATTAAAAGCCACGCTTTCCCCTGTTAGGGAGACATTGGTAAGACTGTTTAGCGATTTAGTTTGTAAGGTTTGCTAGGTTTATATTAGAGTTTGTTTGTTTGTTTTGAATTTCGCGCAAAGCTACACGAGGGTTATCTGCGCTAGCCGTCCCTAATTTAGCAGTGTAAGACTAGAGGGAAGGCAGCTTAGTCTTACTCTTGGGCTACTCTTTTATCAACGAATAGTGGGATTGACCGTCACATTATAACGCCCCCACGGCTGAAAGGGCGAGCATGTTTGGGGGGGATGGGGATGCGAACCCGCGACCCGCAGATTGCGAGTCGAGCGTCCTAACCACCTGGCCATGCCGGGCCCGCTTCAGTAGATTCGCCAGTTCCAGCAAGATAATCATATTACATGGGTTTGTGGTGCACGCTTTGGAACGAAATGATCGAGATGTTGTAAATCTTTTGAAAACTTCATACCTTGAACACATTTTACAGGCACCATCCGGAAGCCACCGCAGTTCTTAGTGTTAACTTCTTTTAGTGTTCGATGACTTATTTCTAATCGAAAACCATATTTAAGTAATTACCTTGTCGATTGTTTTTTTTGTTTTGTTTTTTACCTGGGGAGTTGATGCTGTCTTACCTTCATTTACTTTTAAGTACATTTCTGCCGAATCACTGCGTATGGCGGAACTAAAGCGCTGTTATTGAAGTGGACTTATTCATGGTTCATGTGTTGTCTCCTAGATTCACTGTAAATAACGCTTTATGTGTTCCCATGTAGACATCATTATATTATCGATGGGAATAACGGGGTTTATTATTTATGTCTATGGATTATATCGGTAAATGAAATGAGATGTACACTCAGTCACTACAAGCTCGTGATATGAAAAAACCAAATTGAGAAAAAAAAAAGAGAAGATTAGAAAACGTAGATCACTTACCTAGAGTAGGGTCATAGTCTCCAATAAACCTTCTTGTGATGAAACGTACAGTTAGGGCTGAAACATCAAATAACAAGCCAGACTTATTTGAGTTAACTCCATTGGCTGATATTTATCTACATTATCACGAGCTTCTCTGAGATTGGGAAATGGTAATTTATATTCTATATGTTTCTTGAGTAACTTTTTCAATAATTATATAAACTAACGATACATAGTATTTATAATGAAGTATTACTGAAGAAAATAGCATTGGAAAGTCGAAGGTTGCATTGCTTTATCACTGTGTACAACGACAAGTTTTTTCAATATCTGCAGCACTTCAAATTAAATAAAAGAGATCGTGTGGATAACAGAAACAAACAAAAAAAACAGTAAGTTAATAAGGCTTAATTTGTTAGCTTAGGAACAAATGTATCACTGTGGATAATTGTTTTGACCATCATGTGGGCTGAAATGTCATTTTCACGGCCAAAGCATTATTAATCACCCCCAGTTGTTTCGTTATCAATGTAATTGTCTCTGTTTTTTTATATGAACCTGATGATTAGCCCCTGAAGATGTGATGCTCCTGATGGACAGACTGATCTGTACATCATTACGGATTGTGTTCTGAATGGTGAACCTTTTAGTGACAAGGTTCTAGTAATTACTGTTAAGCCTTTCACTGGTGTTACTGGATCTGGTTTCATTTTGATGGACAATAACGTCCGTCCATCAAAATGTACGTTCGTCACTACCTACCTTGAACAGAAAACCACAGTGAAAATGAACTGGCCAGGAGTTTGTTTTCGGATCTCAACACCACAAATTACACCGAGGATAAAACTTCATAGAGGAACAGATTTCAAGTCTGTATCACCCACGATACAACGAGTGGCCGTATAGATGAGTAATTTCATATTCACATATTACTGTGTTACAATTTTTCCACAAAAAGTCAATAAATACAACTTTTATAATAGTTTGTAAATCAGCATTTATCTAAGTACAAAATATACGCCAATGATTAGTTGATGCTTACTGTATGCTGTCCAATATATACACAGTCTGTTAATATTGGAATAAACCTTACACTCCTTAGCTTTCACAGTTCACTGTTCGCAGAGAAAGTATAATTGTATCTTTACCGTAAACTTCACAAAAGCACAAACTTTCTTCTATCTAAAACATCACCCATTTTCTTTATGTTAGATCTATGCATAAATATTTAAAAGGGAGTTATCTTCAAATATGATTCACAAAATATATTTGTGTTATGAATAAGAAATATCTCGAGTGAAAAATTAGTGGGTGGCTCATTTCTTATACGGTTTGATAGTCAAGTCTCTAAGGTTGTTGAAATAATGTTAATGTTTAACTATCATGTTTCATTACATATTATATGGCTTGTATAAACTTAGTTTTATACGCATGTGTTTGACCTTGGTTGTCATTATGTAGGACACACGCAAAGACAAAACTTGTGGCTAATTTTTTTTTTAAGTTTTCCGACTGAATCATTGTTTACTAGACTGACTAGAGAACCATCATCTAATTCACTTTGATACGGGTAGACAAACAACCTTAGAAAACTGATATTAAGCTATCAATCAGACAACCTTCGGAAGTATCCCCTTTACCGAGTAACCTTAGAAGACTTCGTCTAAGCATATCTATTTTAGTCTTGATATTAGGAATTTTATAGTAATCTCCCTACCATTAGCAACATTAAAAATGTCTGGGTGCTCTAAAAAGTGCGTTAAAAGCATAGTTTCTATGGAGATGTTTGATGCTAATTAGCCTGAACAGATGGAAGTTTAACAATGCAAATTTAGTAACATTATGGAACAGGAACAGCAGACTGTCCATGATTAGCTTGGATTTAACATTTTCCTGTCAGAGCGAGGCATCGCGATAATCCTACTGCATAACTATCTACTTAACTAAGACTCTGCCATCTCTTGGATACAGTAATTTAAATTAATTAAATGTAAAATCCATCGTTCAAAGCATTTAACTTATAAAGAACAAAGGAGTCATTGACCACATTTTGTGAGATTTTATAATTAGGAGAAGTCAGACAGGGTTAAATGCAAGCTGTTTGTTATTTTAAACCCATTTTTAGGCCGATTGGAGTTCTTGTTATCTTATTTCAGAAAAAAAATCACTCTAGAGTTTAATAATAGTAATAAGAAAACGAAAAAAATTATCTCGGTAAGTACACAACCTTCAGAAACACTATATAAAGGAAATTCGCGTAATGTTACCAAAGTAGCTTTTTTTGGTGTGCATCATATAGCAAAAGTCTCACAATAAATAATAATTTTGTTCTTCGAGTTTCCTGATTAAAATAGTCTAACTTTCTTGGCTTAGCGATAAGCTTGAGGGCGTTTAACGCTACAATTCAGGATTCAAACCCTACTGTGGGCACAGCGTAAAAGGTCCAATTACAAAACAACCCAATAAATATTAAACCTCATATTGTATTGTATTAGCGTGCGGTGATAATCGTCACTGCTTGTGAAATGGAACATTTCAAACATTCATAAGAAGATCGTGTATGCAAATGTTACTTTTTGTATTAATTGCCGACTTTTGATTACCAATGACAATTTCATCCATATATATTTATAGTAATACCAGAAGTTAAAATATGGTGAAACGGTCAAGAAAGGAGTTTTGCCTCTTGAGGATTCAAGCTACTAGCCCTCTTCTTCTGATTGGAATGTCGATCTGGATCACAAAAGAGAGTTACACCTCTTTCAAAATCCCAATTTACCTTTAGATAATACTGTTTAATAACCTGGTTGATTCAAATACCCACACTGTAAGTGTTGTCTACCTAGTACTGAACAAAAATTAAACTCGGGTAATAACGGAAGGCTTCAACTCCAGGTTACGAAAAAAACAACAACAGCAACGGAGGTTATGATCTAAAGGGAAGACTATGGTTTGCTAAGAAAGGCGAAATTCATTAAGAAAATCGTATGAGAAGGCTCTAGTTATAGGTTATGTTTTGTATAAAAAATTTTGCACAATGCTACCGAGGGCTATCTCCACACTTTGAATTGGGGCTAAAAGGAAGAAAAGTAGTCAACAGCACCCACTGCCCACTCTAAACTATTTTTATCTGACCAAATAGTGAAATTTAACGTCACTTTTATAATTTATTCACCGCTCCAAAGTGCGGAGTGGGTTTTAGAGGCAGTGGGACAAGAACTTCAGCTCTCAACTTCAAAGTTCATGCACGTTAATCACTAGATTATGAGGGGAAAAAATGACAATATTCATAAAGAAAACCATAAGTGAAGGCTATAGTTACGGTTTATTAAGAGTCGAAAACCATAAGGGAAGGTTGAAGTTACTACTTATGAAGAGAAGAAAACCATAAGGGAATGCTGAAATTACGGCTTATGAAGATGTGAAAGAACAAACAAAGCCATAATGGATGCTTTTTTTACACAATCTAAGAAAGTAAATAAAAGAAACAGAACAATACTTGGTGAATCTAACAAAAAAAAAAAAAAAAAAAAGAAAGAAGGAAAGACGGAGAAACAAAATCACTTGAAAAACAGTAATGACAATGTAGATACAAATTAGAAAGAAAAAAAAGCAAAAATAAAGAAAACCGCAATAAACGACAAACAAGTACAGTTTATGAAGAGAAGGAATATATATAATAGATGCGAATTTCTATAAATGACAAGACACATTAACTTGTAAATCAAATGTCTCATAATTTCTTATGAAACCACTGAGAATTGGTATAGTTTTATATCATGAGCTGTCTCATAGTAAAAACGTTTTTGATATTATCTAATTTTACTTCCATTAGCATCGACGAAGTTAATCTTCTGTTGTTATTTCTTGAGATTCATGTCTGCATGGTTAAAAAACGAACCAGAAAATGTAACCTGTTTTCTCATAAAACCTAGCATTGTACGTCAATCGATTTAACAGTTTAATCTTTTCATTGTAAGATAGATAAAACGTGCGTGAACTTAAACTGTCTATCAAGTTTAATGCTTTTAACACAAACGTTGTTTAGGCATTTGCTCCTGGTTTCAGCCCTGCATTTATTTTTAGGTAATCCTATTTTACCGAAACTTTTCCATTAGCATGTCAAACTTGAGCAATGTTATCATGTGGTAAGAAATTTCCGTTGGTATGAAAAAATAGTTAAAAATGCTTTTCTTAGCATTGGACTGTGTTATCTTACAGATCTTTTAATCTAAGGTCTAGAAAATAAATTGACGGCGTGTATATTTACGTAGCCAGTTCAGAAAACGAACACTCAGGTAAACTGATTCCTAAAATGCATGACTTCAATATACTACACGGAAAGAAACTATCACATAACTAATTAATAGGCAAATTCAGAACGCTTAAAAATATATTTTACCATAATTTGGTAGTAATATTAATACTAAAGTAACACTAACGTAATACTAAAGAAGTTGAAATTTTTGGTACGTTAAACAATAACATTTTTCACCGTACCTAATTACTCTTAGTTGACGTTTGGTGGACAAATGACCCTCTTGCCCCCCTGTAACACCGCCAATGAGTATGTCGAGAGAATAACCTTAGTGTTAAATATATTTTTTTATGTTTGTTTTAGCAGAAAGCTACACAATGGGCTATATGCGCTCTGTCTACTTCGGGAATCGAACCTCAAATTTTAGCGTTACAAGTCTGTAAACTCACCGCTGGACTGTCGGGGGACTACTTTCAATTAAAAACTAAAGTCATTTACCCTAAATAAGCCACGTAATTCTTGTGTATGTTATCTTTTCAATATAAAAATAACAGAAAAGCCATTTTCAGCTGTAACAGAAGTTGCAGTTGAAAAATGTTCTCAATACTATAATATAAGAACAGAGACCTGAACTATTGTTAAAATATAATGTATAAAAAAATTACAAGAAAAAACTTAAAAAAAATATTCAAGCTGAGAAGAAACAATAACGTTTGTTAAAATATATACCTATAATAGCTGGACCAATGGCTCAACAGTAAGTCTGAAGGCTTATAACACTAAAAACCGTGTTTCGATACCCGTGATGGCTACAGCA